TTCCTTACTCCACACGTCTCTGTTTACCTAGCAGTAAGTAGGAACTTGGTTGATATTCGATTGACCCATTGCTTACCGGGAGTAAAAATTATTTAAAAAAAAGTTACTCAATCCACAACTGTTTGTGGGACACTGCTGTGCGCAATTGGCTGCTGTGCTTCATCCACCAACTATACAGTCAATTCACTTCACAGTATATTCTGTGTAACGCTTTGAGACGTCTTAACAATATAATAAGGCATTAAGTTAAATACTATTATTGTTATTATATCAACTTACATTTGTTGACTTGCTGGGACATGAAGTATTGACATTCTGCCTAAATATCTTGCTTATTTCTCTTGGAGCAAACCCAGCATAGGGCTATAATTATGGGAATTGGACCAATTTATCCTGCTTGGGAGATTAAACTGCACCTGATCTGAATCAGACAAAGCTCACTGAACTGGGCAATAAGTGGCAACGTTCAGAGAATTCCTTTTCAGTAATCTACTGAGCCTCATTCTTTCAGTGGCCCGTCTCACTTTATTAAAAGGGTATTGCCTTTCTTAAAACGTGTTTGGTGAGGCACTTATTTGTTCACAAAAATCTGGTGCAATAACAGAAGTCATGTTGAATCATGACAATCAACAACATTACCATACCTGTCAGGATACAACAACAACAAATTGCAATTGTATACCACTCTTCACGTAGAATAACGTTTGTGAGCGTTTTACAGTGGTGGGGATGTGCTCTGGGGTGGGGAGCAAGCGAGGTGTCCATGGTAGGTTTTAAGGAAAGACTTATTGACAGTAGCAAAACAGAGGGGTTGAAGGATGGATTTACAGAGGTTAGGGGTGTAGAATTGTAATTGTAAAGCTCAGCCACCAATGTGTTAATACAATATTATCAAATTAAAATAATGCAGTTCTCTCCTCCCTTTTCAGCTAAAATAATATTTGTCAAACACACTTTTGCATAGGTGATTCAACCTTTAAAATTAGCTTCTTGGAAATTTGACCCGATGTGCTTGGATTATGAAAGTCAACAACTTAAATCTGATTTAATTATTATGCAATCTTGTATTTAGGATAAATGCAAATACAGTGATTAGAATGAAAAGCTAATACTGTTCCCTTTAAACCTGTATTAATGTTGGAATGACACATCGGGGTGTAACAGGATACTTAATGTGAGTTGCGCAAATGGGGACTCATTCCCATGGTGGTGGTACATCACTGTCATCCGGTGCAATGCACTTCAGAGTTGAATTCTCACAAGTTATCAGTATTTCTAACAGGATTCTATATTAAGAAACCCTGCATCTGAGTCTCAAGAGTTAAGATATCTGCAGCAAATTATTCTGTTTTTAGGGCCTTGTGCACCTTACCATGTCCTTATCACTTTAGGATTTTTGTTTAATGCTGAACCTATCATTCCCATCTTCGCAATCCCCCAGAGGATGAAGTTCAAAATCCTTCGAAGCTCTCCACGGCTTTGCTCCCCCTCCCCCCCCCCCCCCCAAACTCTGTGACCTGCTAACTCCAAACTGCCCTGTCTGCTCCCTCCGCTAAGCAGACACCAGCCTGCTCCATGTCCTCCGCCCTGCCCGCCCCACCATCGGCGGTCAGGCCTTCAGCTTCTCTGTCTCCACTCTTTGGAACTGCATCCCACAGTCACTTTGCCTCACTTCCTCCTTTGTCTCCTTCAAGGCCCGACTCAAGACCCCTCTTTTCGACCGTGCCTTCAGTCACCTCCTGCCCTCCACCCGCCCTGATCCCAACCCCAGTTTGCGTGTGGATCCTCGACTGTTCAATGCTTTGGGATGTCCTCCCGACGTGAAAGGCACTATACAAATGTAATTTGTTGGTGTCAATGTTATGTTTGTACCAAAACAACATCAGTAAGATATTAGTGCAGAGGAGTTGAATTGTGCTGTGATTTATCTGTATTACCTACATTGAGAGCTACAAAATGGATGGTTTGGTAGTGATGTATATCTATTTTCACATTAAATCTGCATTTGTGACTACTGCCAGATTCAGTGACACACACAGGTCTGCAATGCCATTGCTGATATCACATAAGTAAAATGAAAGCTTTTCTTGTCATTCATCAGTAGCAAAGAATATAATTTTTTTTCTTGCTGTTTGGGTTTTCATAAGCTGATATAATAGGGTGTTGACCTCCTGAGCACAGCATCAATGATTTGGGGAAATGACTGGCAAGTTGTTACCTGGCTGAACAATATGGGCTTATGCTGACTGCGGAGAGGGAACATTTGAAAGATGGCACTATTATAAAAGATAAAAGTTGTGGTGACTTTCACTGGTGCCCGTAGGGCCACAGAAAAACACAATCAAAAGATTAATACTGATGGCCATCATTTACAGCATGCCAGTCTGGATTGAAGACTGACATGGAAACCAAGTTCACTAAATATACTGATTTCAGTGTTTCTTTTTGGAGTCCTGTTGCTCAGTGGTTAGAGCACTCGTCTTGCAAGCAAGATGACCTGGGTTTGATTCCTGGGGAGAGTGAAATGTTGGGCAAGTTTCCTTACACCACACGCCTCTATTTACCTAGCAATAAGTAGGAACTCAGTTGTTAGTTGATTGGTGGATTGCTTTTGGGGATAATAATTCCTTCAAAATAAAGAAAAATAATTTGGTCACTCAATCCATTACAGTTTGGGACACTGGTATGTCCCAATTGTCTGCCGCATTTAACCCACATAATATTATGTGAAGCGCTTTGACATGTCTTGAAGACGTGATAAGGAGCTATATCAAGTCGTCTTTCTTATTCCTATAAATAGAATTTGAAACCTGTATTTCGACAATGCAATTGTTTTTTGATCTGTTATAATAATCACGTCTTTGAGATGTCTCAAAGTCCTTCACAGATATATACTGTAAAATGAATTGACTATATTTTTGTGGGTGAAATGCGGCAGCCAATTGTGCATAGCAGTGTCACTCAAACAGTCGTGGATTGAGTGACCAAATTATTTTTCTTTATTTTGAAGGAATTATTACCCCTAGAAAAGCGATCCACCAATCGACTAACAACTTACTGCTGGTAAACGTAGGCATGTGGAGTAAGGAAACTTGCCCAATGTTTCGCCAAACCCATGTCCTCTCGCTTGTCAGATGAGTGCTCTAATCAACAAGATTACATTTTGTTGGGATACCTCTCCATTTCTAGCTGGTACTCAAGGTTACAATAACACTGAGGACTCTGCATATGGAGAGGAGAGGTAATGGGTACCATGGTTCCAGCCTGTGCCACATTCCGTCAGTAAGAAAGCTAATTTGGTGGCCATTTTGACCTGTTAATACAATTAATTAAACATATCTTAAAAGAATGGATATAAAAATCTTGTTGTATTCTAAATGATTATAGGGGAATCCCTATATCCCAAAAAATAGTATAGCGCCTTTCATATTGGGAGAACGTCCCAAGGCGCTGGACAGAGTACAGCATTTCAGACCCAAGCTGGGGACGGTGGGGGGGCGGCCGATAGCATGGTCGAAGAGGAGGGTCTTGAGGAGGGACTTTAAGGAGGGGGCGAGGCGGAGTGACTGGGGGATGGAATTCCAGAGATTGGGGGCAGAGTGGCTGAAGGCTCTCCTGCCAATGGTGGGGCGGGTGGGTCGGGGACATGGAGCAGACCAGAGCCGGCTGAGCGGAGGGAACGGGCGGGTTGGTAGGGAGTTAGGAGGTCACAGAGGTACGGTGGGGCGAGGCCATGGAGGGCTTTGTATGTGAGGACCGGAATCTTGAACTGGATCCTCTGAAGGATAGAGAACCAATGGAGTTAGGGGAGATGGGGTCACGGAGTTTGGACACGGGCTGCAGAGTTCTGGATTATCTGCAGCCTGTGGGGGAGGAGTTGGGAAGGCCGACAAGCAGGGCATTTGCATAGTCGAGCCTGGAGGTGATGAAGGCATGAACAAGAGTTTCAGTGGCCTGAGGGGTGAGGTAGCGGCGGAGTCGGGCGATGTTACGGAGGTGAGGGAAGGCAGAGCGGTCATGGCTTGAATGTGGGGAGAAAAGACAGTTGAGAGTTGAACAAGACACCGAGGTTCCTGACTGGCTGGTGATCACTAAATTACAGGACTCCTCTGAATGTCTAATTTGGGTAAGCTTAAAATCCAGAAAAGACTGTACACTGTACAAATGTGCAGAAATGCAGCACAGATTGCAAAATGCATTGAGGCACTTTGCAATGGAATATAGCCTTTAGATTTGAGCAACTGATTAAATATTACATCTTTAAAGTGATGAAATAGTCAATTAAAAAAATTGGTATCTTCTGGTCAATTACATTTTCTTACAGAAATTGGAGCAGCATTTAATACAAATGTTAAAATACCAATGTAAATTAGCATCAAAGCAATATCAAATATGTGCAATTCAAAGAGGAATGACTGGAAGCATTCTCCAGATGATCATGAAAAACAGCTAATTATTAAAAACTAAAATAGATCGTGGATCACGGTAGCTTTTTTTTGTGTGTGAATCTTTTTGCGTCTTAATTTATTTTGAAGTGTGCCGAATTGGCCAACAACTCGTGATCTGGATGCAGAAAGAAACTGAACAACTAGAAAAACAGTAAAAATATTTGTCTTCGTTTGAGTTTTCAGTTTAGAAAATATTGGCCTGGTTTGTTGAATTATTGTAACTGCGCTTTTTGGAAATGGGAATAAACTTTAGTATGAGCTATCTATTCTGAATTATTGTAACTGCGCTTTTTGGAAATGGGAATAAACTTTAGTATGAGCTATCTATTCTCTGTGATACCCCCAAACTTGATCTTTTAATTTTCCAGTAAATATGCGATATGGAGTTGTCTGAGGAAGCGTGTCTCCTTTATCAATACTCTTGGACTTATCAGTACTTTTGGGACATCCTCCTGACTTGAAAGGCGCTATACAAATGTAATATTGTATTGTCCTGCACATGGGGAGACAAAAGCAATCATTTGGCTTACTGAAACATGACNTTTTTTTCAGGTCTAGACTATTTTGATGGTCAATTTGGAGCTTGGCACAAATACCATGGGCAAGAAGCTAGACCTCTCTGGTTTGACGGATGATGAAGCTGAACACGTCCTAAAGGTTGTCCAGCGGGATTTTGATCTGCGAAAGAAGGAGCAGGACAGACTAAGGTACATTTTGAACTCTGAGGGTGGTATTTTATCAGGTTTGTCAGCTAAGTCCATAGTCCCTGTGTATTAAATAAAACCGAGTTGGTCTCTGTTAGACAACAAATTAGATGTCGGAAGCAGGCAATATTTCAGAAGGATGAGCTATATACTGAGCACTAGTTAGAGATTGATTCTGTAACTTTCTTCTAATTGTCAGATGGTGTTGGAAAGATAGGTTTACTCATTTAAACCTGACAAAGAAATAAAGCTGAGTTGTGCTTGAAATAATAATACTTCTTGCCAGTGTTTCTCTAAAAGCTTCCAAACTTGAGTACTTGGTCAATTATTCTTAGGGGCAAGAATATCAAAATATCAGCTGTACTTCCATGTTTTTTTTAACGGTTTTCAAAGACAGTCACTGATTCCATCATGTAGTACTAGATACAAATGAACCTGAGGAAACAAATTGTTCTAACACAGTTGGTTATATGTCAATTAGCAATCAAGTACTTTATTTGCTCTCGTTATTTTAGTTATTATTTTAATAGACATATAAAGCTATTTATATTGCCCCCAGATCTTTAACTTGCCCTAAGTTATGTTTCAATTCTTGGCCAAGAAGCAAGGCAGGAGAGCAGATGACCTGCTCCCAGGCCCTCTCTCCTGGGCCAGCTGCTAGTTAGTACACAAGAAGGGCCCACGGCAATACAGCTTTGAAAACAGAGTGGCAGATTGCTCTACCTGGCAGAGAGGAACTGCCTGGAACTTTGGTTCACCTTCATCAATGTCATTGCTAGGATCTGAAAGTTACTGTGCAGGGAATTGTAAATAAGAGCCTGGATTCTGTGGCACAATACAGTATGCTGGGACCAAACAGTGCACTCAACTATCAAACCACCTTGTTTTGGTTTTAGCTTATTTGTAACTAGTTTTGATAAACAAACTTTTTACATGACAGTGACTATCTTGGGTCTCAGTCTCACACTGCGGCAGATAGATTTCTTGCATGGCCAAGGTAGAAGTCATAGAATTTCAAACAAAACCTGGAATATGTTTTTTTTTATCTGGATCAAAATGTTGATCTAGTCCTTCATCTCTTATTCATGATTGATATTTTCATTTCAACTTCTGATCTCAACTGTTTTTTTTATTCTATGAAGATATGGCTGTGCTTTAGAATACAAAAAGGCTGCAAACTTTCTCCACAGCTCACCTCCCATTCCATTATCCCCATCCAAAATACTGGAGTCCTGTAGCTCAGTGGTCAGAGCACTCGCCTTGCAAGTGAGACACCTGGGTTCAATTCCAGGCAGGGCGAAACCTTAGGCAAGTTTCCTTACTCCACATACCTAATAATAATCCCTCCAAAACAATAATAAATTGGTCATTTTCCATCCACGAATGTTTGTGGGACTGCTGTGCTCAATTGGCTGCCGTGTTTCATCCACAAATGTACAGTCAATTCACTTTCCAGTCTATTCTGTGAAGCGCTTTGAGACGTCTAGAAGACGTGAAAAGCACTATATCAATTATTATTATTATTTTATTATTATAACTGGTACTCTGATCATCTCTGAAAGAGGGACTGAAGGAAATTTAGCAGCAGATTCTGAAGCGAGAGCCGAACAATGGAACAGTCTTGAAGCTTATGGCAATAGAATGAAGATAAATCATTCAGGCACTTGTTTGGTAATCATTGTAGTTGTTTTCCAAGAATGTGGATGGGTATTAAATTGCTTCTGAAATGGATATTTTATAAGTCTATGAAAAAATGGAGAGAAAGTGTTCTTATCCATTTGTATTGCTTAAGCTTTCATACACATTTGTTTTCCAATACTGCTGGTTTTCACAGTTTATATAGGACTTTACAGCACCGAAACAAGCCATTTGGTCCTACTGGTTCACACAATTGTTTGATATCAGTGGCCTTGGAGGAGGAAAATCTTTTCTGTAAATTAAGTGATTCTACTAGTCACTAAACACTCAGATATATATTGTGCAAATAGATATTCATTTAAGTCTTTGCCCTCACTAGACGCAACTGCCTCTTTTGATTTTTTTAAAAAAGTTGTGTGAATTTTATGCTGCTTCAAGTGAGGGAAGCTTATGTTGGAGAGTGAAAGACTTTTCTAACTTTTGTTGTAATAATAATTAGAATATACACATACCCCTTGCATTTGATATAGCACCTTATGATGTCAAGATATCTCAAAGCACTTCACAGGATATACTCTAAAGTGGATTTGACTGTGTATCTTAATCACATGTCTCAATGATGTGATAAGGCGCTGTATCAAATTATTATTATTATTATTTTGTAGGTGAAACACAGCAGTCAGTATTGTGCACAACAGTCCCACAAACAACCATGGAGTGAGCGACCAATTTTAGTTTGCACTGGAGTGTCAGCTTAGACTTTCTGAATTTTGAGTTCCTATATGGGGCTTGATCCACAACCCTCTGACTCCGAGGTGAGAGTTCTACACGGAACCAGGCTGAAACACTCCCATTAGTAATTCCATCAGTGATTTAAAAAAAAACTTGCAACAAAGACAATCCATTACTTTGAACACAGTGAACCATAATGTTTATAATTAGCTGGTTAAATGAGAAATTGTAAAGACAACATGTTTTCTTCAATGATTGCACACGTGTATATGTGCTTATAAAGTAGAGGAGGGTGAGTTTTTTAAAAAAAGTCTGCTGATGTCCTGTACTCCATTGCTTCTTATAATACTGGTGTGACAGGGAAATCTGTACCTCTTTCTGCTCTACTAGCTATGAAATCAGTCCTGTAGCTGGAAATCAGAGATAGGACATTGATATGAATATAACTAAATAGCCATCTTTTAAAGAATTCTGCTCTGCTTTTACTTTTTTATATAGCATGTTAATAATCAGATGTAAGAGTTCACAGAGTTTGTAATGATATTTGATGTTACCAATATTGAAAACTGACAAAGATGGTTATTTCATGCAATTATTCCAAATTCACCCATTTATTCCTTAATTAAAGATATTAAATGTGTCTTGTCACTGAGAAAGTTTGCCTGACTGTAGTCACTTAACACAGATGCCTCTGTGAAGGATGGATGAGATAACTAAGGTGATTTTAAGCATGAGGGATCTACTTAAATTAGCTGCGGTGCACTGTTCTGGAGTAGAATCTAGACACTATCATTATACTTCACGCAGCTGAACCATTTGGGAATAGGGATGGTGACACACTGGATTACGGAGGAAAAACAGCTTCTCAAATGTCTTCTCAGGTTTTCAGGAAACATATAAAGCCCTGTGTTAAATCAACAATCTCGATGTGAAAGGTGCTATGTAAATTTTTGTAGTTTAGTATTGGTCGGAAAATATTGTTGCACAATTTTGAAACATCATAGTGTTCAACTTCAGCATCTGGCTGAGAAGTCATTCGTTCATAGAAAGTGGACAGTGGTTCAAACATGGCTGCATAATTCCTTGCCAGCTTGGTAGCAGAGTTTGGCTGCTCACACAGATTTCTTCATTGTTATTCTCAGTGGGACGTTAGGGTAGGAGTAATTCAAACAGGTTGTTCAATCTTTTGTATTGGTAATACAGAGTTAGTAATGAAAGAAATAACTTCTATTTTTATTGCACTTTTTTACTTATCGTTGAAATATTTTAAAGACCTTCATAGTTAATTACTGTCAAGTGTGTGAATGTTATTGCGGGCAAACATGGCAGTCATTTGTTCTCGCAAGTTCACATTAACAGCTATGAAGTGAATGAGCAATTAATCTCGTGGATTGTTAGCGAGGACACCTCTTTTTGAATAGTGCCATGGACACCTGAAGAGGCAGATGGGACTTCAGCTTAACATCTTGTCCAAGGATACCAATGCAGTGCTCCACCAGACATCCACTGAAGAGTCCGTCTGTTTTACGGTGCTGTATAATGAAAATATAAGGATGTCAGTTTGTAACTTGTTTATGAAAGGCGCCCTTCATGAATGTGCAGCAATGGTGGCCATTTTTCAGGAAAAGTTATTAGGACAAAGGAAGTGAAGATGGGATGGTCACTTTGGTTTTGTCTTCTGCTATAACATAGTGTTTGGGTTAATGGACCAGAAACAGCATGTTATAACAAGGTACTTACCTGTTTATTCTAAGACGATTTTTTGCTCCTTCCCCATACAACTACAACAATTTACATTTATACTGTGCCTTTTATGTCAGGAGGATATCTCTCAGTGCTTCACACACTGACTTGGAATTGGGGAGGGGAGAGAGAATGTACATGTGGAAGTGGATGCCAAACCTACAGATGATGCCACTAAGAGCACATGTAGATGGTGAAGAGAAATGGACCGAAGATACACCCCTGAGGAACACCACATGTGATCGTACGAGGGCAGAAAAAGGCATTGGAAGAGATGAAATGAAGACACTAGGAGATAACTAAGTTATGAAAGGACAGAGACATTGAGGGGGAGCACGGAGGAGAGATGGTGGTGAAGGATGCAGTGGTCAATGGGGTCAGAGAGGTCGAGGAGGAGAAGAAGGCCCTGGCTGCAGATTGAGAGACTAGGGATGTCTCTTTCTTATCACAATATGATTTTTTTTAAAACTGGGGTAAAAATGACATTTGAAATGAAGACACTAGGAGATAACTAAGTTAGGAAAGGACAGAGACTTTGAGGGGGAGCACGGAGGAGAGATCTTAATAGATTTCCATTTTCCCCCACCAGCCATCACATGGGCATATTATTGAGTCGCATGGCTAGTTAATGCCAGATTAAGGTCAGTTTAGTGCTTTGAGCTTCGTTCATTAGAAATTGTGGAAAACTGCCAAGAAAAATATTAAGGACAAAATTTGGTATTCCTAAATGTAGTCCATAATTAATATTTCAATTTTTGGGGAGTCAGATGGATGACTGCCACATGTGGAAACCCATCACTATGCTTAAGAGTATCCAAACCAAACTGACATTTCCATGCATCCCACCCACACATGGAAATTCCAAAGATATTTGGAATGCACACACTCCC